TGGATTGCATGTTGGTAATTCAAGTGTGGAAAATGACTTATAAGTAGTTGGATATTTTTGTATGTTTTTATTGGTTTTGTTGTTGTAGTAGTCCACCGTGTAAACTTCCTTATAATTTTGTACACTTCTGGGTATCCTAGATTAGTACTTTTATAAATTTTGAAGAATATATATGTGCATCTTAGCTATTTGGTGCAACGAAATTAACAGGTTCATTAGAAAATATGAAAATAACAACTTAAATGTGGTATGTGTGATGATGGAAAAATATGAAAAATAGCGACCTAAATGTGGTTTGTGTGATGTTAGAAAAATATGAAAAATTAGGTACCAAAAAAATTACACGGAATCCACCTCGATTCCGCTAAAAAATAGTCTAATTTGATAAGTAACATTCAATCGATGTGGTAAGTGTATTTTTCACATTGAGTTGTTGCCCGATCTAAAATGTCTTTGATTTACTTTAGACCCAGATCCGATGTATAATCCATAAACTAACAGATAATCATCTTAGATAAAGATTTGAGCAGTATATATCTATAATAACCCAAACCCCGAGCGCAGAGCAAAAATCTAAGATAACAATCGACACAGATTTGTAAAGAAAATTAAATATAATGCCATGGGAAACAAATATACATGAGTTCAAAGTAAAATTATATAAAAAAACCCCAACCAAAGAGAAATACACAAAGAGGAAGAGAAATGAACCAAAAATCTCCCGGTTTGTCAGCGGCGATTGATGATCAATCTACCCCAGATCATCCGTATGCAAGCTCTGAAGTTGTTTTCTAAGCTCTCTCTACCAAAAAAATGAAGGTTTGATGAGTTGGAAACAAATACCCCAAAACATCCTAAAAAATTTATATTTTATCCCTTTTAATGCAATTCTGTCCAATGGACCGTGCTAAGCGGCACAATCCCACTAAGCGCTCTCTACTATCATGAGAAAAAAAATTAGTTTTTTATTTTTGCCATAACTTGAGAACCGTAACTTCGATTTACGCCTGGTTCGATGCGTTAGAAAGCTTATTCAATTATCTATCTAAAAATTGATAAATATCAACTAAATTGATGATTTCTTATTCTTTGATTTTGAGTCTTATTCGTTGATGAGTTGCTCAAAATCCCGTGTTTGAAGTCATGTCTTTGACACTTTATTGCTCATGCTCCAAATACGCATCAATACCTATAAAATGAATGGAAAACTATCAAACGATACACAAATATACAAAAGCTCAATTAAATACAATTTATACATAATTATACAAAAAGCATGAAATTATTCAATGATATTAACAACAAAAAGTCGATAAGTGCGACAAAAAATATATACAAAAATAGCTACAGTTTGCACTTATCAAACTCTCTCCAACTTGAACTTGTTTGTCCTTAATCAAATCCAAACAACTCAAAGAACCAAAAGTAATCAACCAAAATATCATGAATCAACAAGTTTTGAAAACGGAAAACAAATGCAATGGTTCAAATGAAAAGCGGTACATACGATGAAACACACTTACCATTAAACTACGACGATAACATAAACACGAAACAAATGTTAAATACAAAGAACATGCCAAACATTCTAAAACAACACTAGTTCACAAATGAATCACACCTAGAAAAAACAATCATCGGTAGATGAAAAACACACAAAATAAGTTATTTTCACTCATCCACAATCTTGCAAGTAAAAGACTAAATTATGCATTCATCCAAAACTCATATTGAAAATACAAAGGCAAGAATCCCAAGGGCTTTTTTAAGATTGTAATATGGTTTGGTTAACAAACAAGGGATAAGTCCTATAGCTAATCGAAACAAAAACTTGCCTTAACCTAAGGGAGTGATCAACTCACAAAGACTCAAACAAAATAATTTCAATCAAACTTCTTCTTCATTCCAAATTTCAAACCAACACACATTACTTATTAGCCCTATTATTCAAACTCTTTTTGTTTTTCTTTATCAAAATTTTTCTCTTTTTTCCATCTTTTTCTTTTCTTTCTTTTTCTTTTCACTTCTTTTTTCAATTTTTTTTCTCTTTTTCTTTTCCTTTTCAACCTCATAGCAATCAACCAATAAATACACAATCATTTTTCTCCTCAACTTGAATTCAATCATACATTAAAGTGAATACTCCCTACTTTCTAAGGCAAGGTAAAAATTCAAACCAAAATAATGGTTGAGGGTTCAAGAAAACAGCGAATCAACATTCATGCAAAAGGGGAAACTAAACACTCATAGACAAGTATTTAGCAAATACAACCCGGATATCGATAAAAAACTCAAAGGGGTTACCAATGATCACACAATCATAAGGTGATTTGACTATTTGGTTTAGGTAGTTGTTCTCAAAATGAAATAATAAATGTCTTGATCACATTCAAGTTTCATACAATCAATACAAACAAAATATTAAGCATAATAAAATCCAGTTAAAACAAGAGTTGTGGTCTCCAGCATATGTGAACAATGGAAAGCTACCTCACAAAAAGGATAGGAACTAAAGTGATTCAAAAATAAAGAAGTATACAAAAGATTGGATAACATAAAAATTGTAAAAAGTCTAAGTATCATGAATATGCTAAAATATAGAAAGCGATAAACACATACCTCAAACGTGTATAAAACTTTAACAAAATCATTAGCACGCATTCACAAGTTGAAACACTCAAATTTGGAAAATCACCAAAAGAGACTTCAAGCTATTCACAACAAGCTCAAAGACAAACAAAAAAGAATTAGAAAAATAATACTAATTTTATTTACTACTACAAGGCCTTGGTGAAAGTGGGAAAAAGAAAAGCCAAGTGAACACTAAAAAAAACTTCCTTAGTGCAACACAGAAGAGCGCGCTAAACAACCTAAATTGTGCTTAGCATGCTACACCAGTTGCAAAAAAAAAAACAGAACAGCAACAGCAGTGCAGCCTCCTCATTCACCTATACAGTCTCAGCTACACATGTACAATATTTACAACATACAAACACACTTCCACAAGCTAAACACGACAAGCTTGCAGAAAAACACAAATTGATATAACAAAACTAACGAGTGAAAGTGAATTAACAAGTTGAAAAGTGAAAATTTGAGAATTTAAAACAGATCCTATATCAACTTGTTTAAAATAAAAGTCAACACATACATAAAACGAATACAAACAAAACATGCTTATTTTACTTCGTAAGCTCGACGTCTTTATTGTGCGAGCTAGTAACCTTCTATCGTCATGCCATGGTATTTTCACACCGCGCAAACCTAAAGAAAGTGTCCGAACATCCACACAACAAACGTTACAGAAATGAGACAATTCACAACAATACGTAAAAACAAAGAAAAACACATATATGTACAAGTATCATATACAAGTAAATGTAAAATTTCTATACATCATATACATTAATTACAAAACTCAAAAACAAAAGAATTATTGCAATGCGAAAACAATAGAACCGATCCCTGACAACGGTTCCATTTTGTTGCAACAGTAAAGCGGCAAGAAAAAAGTAAGTTATTAATTTACTGGGTGATATCAGTTAAATTGTATCGTGTCCACAGAGATTGATTATTGAATCACCGTTCGAAAAATCTCTCATTAATGAGTTTGATTTTAAATGGTAAAACATAAAAACATAAAAGTAAGTATGAACAGGAAAAAATTCATTCTCTAGAGAGAAGAAACTTATCAAGCATGCATATAATTTACTTCTCACAAAATTAAACTTATCGACCAGTTACACTCAACCTACAATACTCTTCAAAGTCATCTAGCTTCTCTCACTCCCTAAGTTATTTCTAACCCAAAGTAGATAGAACTATTATATCATCTCGGCGACGATTTCTCAGCCAACCTCAACAACACATCAGGCATCCATATTACTTATATCAGCGATCTCTCAACCGACACAACCAACACGAAAGAATTAAGCTTCGACACCCATAAAGACTGTTAACTCTAAATCTATCTCTAGAATCCAGAAACTAACAAATAATCATCCTAGATAAAAATTTGAGCAATATATATCTATAACAATCCAAACCCCGAGCACAGAGCAAAAACCTAAGATAATAGTCAACACAGATTTGTAAAGAAAATTAAATATAACGCAAGGGGCAACAAATATACATGAGTTCAAAGAAAAATCATATACAAAACCCAACCAAAGAGAAATACACAAAGAGGAAGATAAATGAACCAAAAATCTCCCGATTTGTCAGCGGTGATTGATGATCAATCCACCCCAGATCATCTGTATGCAAGCTCCGAAGTTGTTTCCTAAGCTCTCTCTACCAAAAAATGAAGGTTGATGAGTTGGGAACAAATACCCCAAAACATCCTAAAAAATGTGTATTTTAGCCGTTTTAACGCAATTCTGTCCAGGGGACCGCGCTAAGCGGCACAATCCCGCTAAGCGCACTCTATTGTCATTAGAAAAAAATCAGCTTTTTGTTTTCGCCATAACTTGAGAATCGTAACTCCGATTTACGCCCGGTTCGAAGCGTTGGAAAGCTTATTAAATTATCTATCTAAAAAGGCCTAAATATCAACCAAATTGATGATTTCTTATTCTTTGATTTTGAGTCTTATTCGTTGATGAGTTGCTCAAAATTGCGTGTTTGAAGTCGTGTCTTCGACACTTTATTGCTCATGCTCCAAATACGCATCAAAACCTATAAAATGAATGGAAAACTATCAAAAAATACCCAAATATACAAAAACTCAATTAAATACAATTTATACACGATTATACAAAAAACGGGGATTTATTGAACGATATTAACAACAAAAAATCGATAAGTACCATAAAAAATATATACAAAAATAACTACAACTTACACTTATCAAATGTTCAGAAAAAGAAAGATCTTTAAGTGGAGCTACTTTATTTTTTTATGCCAACATAGAGTGAAAATATGGTGTATGGTTGGTGACTTCAACTCCATCAGGAAGGATCAGAAGAAAATCAAAGTCCTCGACACAATGCCAAAGTGACATGAGACACTTTGATGAGTTAATCTCATATTCTGAGGCAATTGATCTTCCTTTGCAAGGTAGGAAATTCACCTGGTATAGGGCTGGAGGCGACTCCATGAGCCGCCTTGATAGAATTCTAATTTCAGAGGTTTGGCTTTCCTCGTGGTCGGATTCGTCTCAGTGGGGCCTTGATAGGGATATGCCTGATCACTGTCCTCCTCCATTGAAAGAAATGGTTCGCGATTGGGGTCCCAAACCCTTTAGAATGTTGAAATGTTGGAAGGAACTTCTTGACGGATACAGCGAGATGGTAAAAGATCTGTGGACTAGTTCGAAGTTTGAATGGTGAGGTGGTTACGTCCTTAAGCAAAAGCTGAAGGAACTGAAGAAAGGGTTGAGGAATTGGCACAAAAGTCACTGTCAAAACCTTGGTGGGAGAATTAAAGAGGTCAAAGATGAACTTAATAGGCTTGATTTAAAAGGACAAGAAACTGCATTGTCTGAGGAAGAAATTAATTCATTAAGAGAGTGCAACACCAAAATCTTCCATCTTTCGCATTTACATAATAGCATTATTCACTAAAGATCGAGACAAATTTGGCTTAAAGAAGGTGATGTGAATTCTTGATTCTTCCACGGATGCATAAACCAAAGAAGAAGAGGGAATGAAATCGTTAGCTTGGAAATAACAGGGAGAAGAACCTCGTTGGTTGAAGATCTGAAGAGTGGTATTCAGAATTACTTTGAAGACCATTTAAAAAGTGGAAGGGAAAGTGTCTTATCTCTAAGAAGCGTACCCTTTAGGAAAATTTCAACAGAAGATAATTTATTACTGACTTCAGATTTCTCGGCCGAAGAAATCAAAGATGCAATGTGGAGTTGCGACGATGCAAAAATCCCAGGCCCGGATGATATCACTTCTGACTTTATTAAGAAGAACTGAGAACTAGTTAAGGACGATTTCATTCAATTCATCCTAGAATTTCATGAACACGGATGAATTCAAAGGAGGAAACAACTCATTTATCGTATTGGCTCCTAAAAAAGCCAAGAAGCTTAGAAAACGTGGTTAGTATCAAGGAAGTTCTCCAATTGTTTGAACTGTCTTCTAGTATGAGTAAATTTTAAGAAAAGTTAATTAATTGGTATTAAGACTTCAGAATCTTGGTGATGGAAGCAGCTAATGTGTTAAATTGTATAGTGGGCTCGATACCTTTTGTATACTTCAGGCTGCTAGTGGGGGCGAATCCAAGGTATGCGTCAACATGGGAACCAGTTATTGAGAAGGTGAAAAATAGATTATCTAGATGGAGGATTTGTAACTTATCTATGGGTGGCTGTGTGGTGCTATTGCGCTCTGTTTTTTCTGCATTATCGGTGTTCTACCTCTCTTTTCGTTGAAGCTCCAACATGTATTGTCTCTAAAATTGAATCTCTCTTTAAGCAGTTTCTTTGGGGGAGAGTGAGAATATCAACCGAGTGAACTGGGTTAAATGAGACAAAGTGTGCTTAAATAAGGAAAATGGTGGGCTTGGCATAAAAAACATCAAAACCTTTAACTTAACACTCTTAGGAAAATGGATGCGAATAATGTGGGCAGAGCGAGAAAATTTGTGGTATCAAATACTCAAGACTAAGTATGGACAAGAGAATAGGAGAATAAAGTCGAGTGGTAGAAACACATCAAGGTGGTTGAAGGACATTGAGGAAGTAGGAAATTTAGGAGGATAAAAAAACTATAATTGGTTCTCTGATAATGTGAGTAGTATGATGGGAGGGGGAGCCGAAACTTGCTTCTAGAGCGTTTATTGGATTGGAGGGGCATTGGAAATTAGGTATGAGAGACTCTTTTCCATTTCCATGCAACATGATGCCTCTGTTGCAAATATGATAAGAGTAATAGGGGATAATATGGAATAGATTTTTTCATGGAGAAGAGAGTTATTCAAATAGGAGGATGAGATGCTACGTGACCTGGTAGGCAAAATTGAGAGTTTTCAATTCCACCAAATAGAATGGACTGTGTAATTTGGCTTGCGGACCCGTCAAGCTGTTATACTGTTAAATTTGTTAGTGCAAGGTGATGAAATTGAGGAAGAAGAGAGAAAATAAATAAATGCTAAAAGCTGCCACTAATGATTGAAGGAAATTGATTGATGTTAAATGTAAACCTGATACACCTATTTATACACAAAGTAGCAAAGATAAGAATGCCACATAGGGCCTAAAGGGAATATCCTACATATGACAAATACTAAATTACCCTCTAATATCATCCCGTAATTTAGTAACTTATCAGAAGTTAACAACACCAATTTCAACTCTCAAGCGAAGAAATTGGTCTGTTTTTATCGCCTTTGTCAGAATATCTGCTAGCTGCTTTTGAGTGCTACAGTGCAGAACTTCTAACACTCCTTTCTGCACTTGACTTCTGAGAAAGTGATACTTCGTCTCAATGTGCTTGCTTCTTCCATGTAGCACTGGATTCTTTGCAAGATTAATTGCAGACTTATTATCAATCATCAGCTTCAGAGGTTCCTCAACTTCAACCTTCAGATCATGCAGCAGATTTAGAAGCCAAACTGCTTGACAAGCAGCTACAGCACCTACAATGTATTCAGCTTCACATTTTGACAAAGCCACAACAGGCTGTTTCTTGGAACTCCAAGAAATTGGACCTCCCAGAAACTTGAACAAGTACCCAAAAGTACTTCTTCAGTCAACTCTATCTCCACACCAATCAGAATTAGAATAACTCAGAAGTTCTAATTTGATCTTTCCTCCAGAAGGAAATAACACTCCATATTTCAGAGTTCCTTTTACATACCTCAAAATCCTGACAGCAGCTTGGTAATGAGACCACTTTGGTTTGCTCATGTATCTGTTGACCATTCCAACTGCATAGCAAATATCAGGTCTGGTATTACACAAATACCTCAGAGAACCAACCATCTGTTTGAAGGTTGTAGCATCCACATCCTCTCCATCAGAATCAGAATCCAACTTCTTATTCGTATCATCAGGTGTGATAGAAACCTTACAATTTGCTAGCTCAAATCTCTTCAGAAGCTCCAGTTCATAGTTCTTCTGATGTAAGATGATTCCTTTCTCAGAGTATATAAATTCCATCCCTAGAAAGAAACTCATTTTTCCAAGATCTGTCATCTCAAACGCATTCATCAGATCTTTCTTGAACTCAACTGTTTCTTGTTCAGAACTTCCTGTGAGTAATATGTCATCAACATACAAACAGACCAAAATCATATTACCTTCTGAGGTGTGCTGAACATAAACACCATACTCCATCTCACACTTCTGAAACCCTTGTTCCTTGAAAAACGAATCAATCTTCAAATTCCAAGCTCTGGGCGCTTGCTTCAGTCCATACAGAGCATTATTTAACCTGTATACCATCCATTCCTGATTCTTTTTCACAAATCCAGGAGGTTGTGACACATAAACTTCTTCTTGTAATGGACCGTTCAGAAATGCAGAATTCACATCCAGATGTATCAAAGGCCAATTTCTGTTTGCAGCTAAAGCAATCACCAGTCTGATTGTTTTGTGTCTAGCTACAGGCGCAAACACCTCAAAGTAATCTAGTCCAGGTTTCTGAAGAAAACCTCTAGCCACTAGTCTCGCTTTGTGTTTGCCAATTGATCCATCTGGCTTTAGCTTCTGCTTGAAAACCCATCTGACGCTGATGGCTTTCTTGCCTTTTGGAAGTTCTGTCAGCTTCCAAGTCTTGTTTCTTTCAATAGCCTCAAGTTCTTCTTTCATGGCATTCAGCCATACTTTCTTCTTGAGCGCTTCTTCAATACCCACTGGTTCATAATCTACTAGCATGGCACACTGAATGATTTCTCCTTCAGAATCTACTTCAGTATCATGCAACATGCTAAAATCTGCAAACCTACTTGGTATTCGTCTGATTCTCTGTGGCCTCTGATCTTGTTCTGAATCTTCTCCAGAACTCAGAACTGTGCTGGCTTCTGGACTCTGTCCAGAATTATTTCCTTCAGAATTACCACCTTCAGAGTTACTTCTAGAAACTTGTTCTCCAGACCCCATGTCTTTAGAGTTACTTCTAGAAACTTGTTCTCCAGACCCCATGTCTTTAGAGTTTTCCCTTCCAGAAGTATAATCACCACCAGATTCTGGATCATCATCAGAATCTGGATCAGAATCAGATCCACTATCAGAATCTCCTTGAGATTCTGACTCATCTTCAGAGTCTTCATCTTCTGACTCGTCTTCAGAACTTTCTGAAGGATCTTCAGAAACTAACCCTGGTGTTGGCGCTACACCAGAATCTGATTGAAGCTTGTTCCAATCCCATGTTTCTGACTCTTTCACAATGACGTCTCTGCTGATCTCAACTTTGTTGGTTTCTGGACAGTAAAGCTTATAAGCACCTGTACTGTGGTACCCCACCAGTAACATTGTTTTTCTTCTATCATCCAGTTTTCGTCTTCTAGCCTCTGGAACGTGTTTGTAGCATACAGAACCAAACACCTTCAGATGGCTAACACTTTGCTTGTCTCCAGTCCATTTTTCTAAAGGAACAGTTTCCTTCAGCTTCTTTGTTGGACACCTATTCAGAACATATGCTGATGTGGCAACAGCTTCTCCCCATAACATGTGAGGTAACTTTTTCTCTTTCAGCATACTTCTGGTCATATCAAGCAAAATTCTGTTTCTTCTTTCAGCAAGACCGTTATGTTGAGGAGTATATGGAGCAGTAACCTCATGTTCTATTCCATTCTCCTCACATAACTTCTGGAACTCTGTAGTGTTATACTCACCTCCACCATCTGTTCTCAGAATCTTCAGCTTCTGACCACTCTGCTTCTCAGCCTTCACCTTGAACTTCTGGAACTCAGTAAACACTTCATGCTTGAACTTGATGAGTGTTACCCATGTCATTCTTGTGAACTCATCCACAAAAGACACAAAATATTTGTTTCCTCCAAGTGAAGGTACTGGAAATGGTCCACACACATCAGAATGTACTACTCCCAGAGCATGCTTTTCTCTGGGGGCTACTTCTGATGAAAAAGGAAATCTGGGTTGCTTGCCTTTCATGCATATCTCACATGACTTCTGAGGCTTCACAATCTTCGAAATGCCATGTACGAGCTTCTTATAACTTAGATGCCCTAAGCTTCTATAGTTCAAGTGCCCCAACCTCTTGTGCCACAACTTACTGTCAGCTTCAGCGCCTTCTGCACTAAGATACTCCACTTCAGAAGTTTCTACATTCACCTTGAATGTTCTGTTGCTTCCCTGCTCAGACTTCATAATCAACTTTTGATTAGAATCATACAACGTCAAGAGGTTGTCCTTCATAACCATTGAAAAGCCTTTCTCAATAAGCTGACCCACACTCATCAGATTGCTTTTAATTCCAGGAACATACCAAACATCTTTGATCAGAATGTTTTTTTTCCATTCTTCACTCTGACTCTAACATTTCCCATACCTTCTGCATTAAGGTACTTATCATCAGGACATCTGATCTTTGTTCTCCTTCTGGAGTCAAAGTCTATCAGCCATTGTTTGTTCCCAGTCAAGTGGTTTGAGCAGCCAGTGTCCATATACCACCAATCTCCTGAACAGTTTCCATCAGAAACAGAAGCCATCAGTAACACAGGTTCATCATCAGAATCTTCTCTGGCTATATTTTCTTCTTCTGATTTCCTTCCTCTGTTTCTACAGTCTCTGGCAAAATGGCCAAACTGTTTACAGCAGTAACATTGAACCTTCTTCTTGTCATACCTTTCCTTTCCCTTCTGATATTTCTTTTCATCAGAAGTTGAGGTTTCTGACTTCTGGAATTTATCACCATGTCTATTCTACTTATGGTCCTTCTTGACAAAAGAAGCTTTCAGAGCCTGCTTCACTTCCCTCTCAGAAGTTCTTTCAGTCAAACGCAACTCTTGCGCTTCTAGACTGCTTTGCAACTCTTCTATTCTCATGGTTTCCAGATTTTTAGAATGTTCAATTGAAACAACAATGTAATCAAACTGAGGAGTAAGTGACCTCAGAATCTTTTCTATGATTACCTGTTCAGAAAGTGTTTCTCCACAAGCCTTCATCTCATTAGTGATCAGAATCATTCTGGAGATGTACTCAGAAACTTTCTCACTGTTCTTCATGCTGAGATTTTCATATTGTTTTCGCAGGGACTGAAGCTTTACCTTCTTTACTGATACGTCACCACCATAACATCTGGTCAGTATATCCCATGCCCCTTTCGACGTCGTCGAATCAACAATCTTCTCAAACACATTTTCATCCACACACTGATGGATAAAGAACATAGCTTTCTGATCCCTCTTCCTCACAACTCTTTCTTCTGATTTTTGTTCTTCAGTGGCATCTGCTGCAACTGGAACATAACCTTCAGAAACAAGATCCAGAACATTCTGAGCACCAAACAGCACACGCATTTGTATCTTCCATCTGTTCTAGTTTTTGCCATCAAAAACTGGAAGTTTAGTGTTCAAACTACTGCCTCCATTCATCCTAAACTTTACACAAAAACTCAGATCTCAGATTTCTCACTCAGTGTTTCCCAAACCCACAGAATCAGTGTGATTCTGTTTCAGATTTTTTGTCCAAGATTAAAAAATCAAACACATAGCTCACTATCACTCGTGTTTCCCAGAATTTCAGAACAAACCAAGTGCTCTAGATACCAATTTGTTAGTGCAAGGTGATGAAATTGA